CGCGATGAGTGGGAACCACTCGATGGCTCCTGACAACAACAAGAAGATCCTCTCTTTAAACATTAAAAGAAGAAACAACCGAGCAGGAACCTTCAGCCTGCACTCAGAGACGCGTACGGCTTGAGTGCGTGTCCGAGGACCAACATGAGGGCTGTTAATGATAAAAACCCAGTACTTCGACCTCAGTGGCTACAGAAGCAGCTGGCAATACTGGGCACTTAGAGGTTGGTGATGGAGGGTTCTGACTCGGAAGCCAGTCTACCTGGGTTTGCATCTCAGCTCCTCCACTTGCTAGCAGTGTGACTTTAGGCTCAATAGGTAATTATTCTGCGCTTCAGTTTCTCCTTCAGTAACATGGAGATGACAGTAATATCTACTTGCGAAGGTTACTGGGAGATGCGAGTCCATACAGGTGAAGGTACGGAGAAGCTTTGGTGGGGAGGCAGTTAAGTGCTTGGTCGCTTACAGTTAGTTTAAAACCCTCAGAAGCTCCGTGAGAGAAAGATCTGGTAACCCGCTCCTGAAAAGATTACAGCTGAGGAAACCCTGTGATGAGGTTCTACTCATCCAACAACGACAACAACGAGGGGCATAGACGAGGGCTCCCCCCACCCAAGGCCAAGAGCACAGGAAATGCTGGCTGGCGTCATTCCGCTGAGCTTCACCTAGGAAGGTCATCACTGCTCAAGGTGCGTGAGCTCAAGGGAGGGTCTCGTTCGGACAACAGAGGGTGCTGGGTGTTTGGGCTGACAGTCTACTACTCCTGCAAGACCTTGAGTGGAAGTGTCCAGCACCCCAACCCCCACCAGCGCCCAGGTGTCTGTTCCCCACCCCACTGGCAACTTTGGGAGCCTCCGCTCCACTGGCTCCTTCACAGTTAATTATTGTCAGGTTTTTGTTTGTTTTCCATGTTATTTTATATGCCTCATACTTAGAAAAGGAAATTTAAAATCAAAATTTCAAGAGAAATTGGGTGGATTATACACTATTCATAGACGGGCCGATATATGTATATATCAAACCAACCCAAACGTCATAACAGCATCGATTCTGACTCACAACAACTCTCTAGAAGGTTTCTGAGGTTGGAAACATTTACCGGAGGAGACAGCCGCATCTTCCTCCCATCAGAACTGCTGGTGGGTTAGAACCCTGATCTTAGCAGCCCAATTCCTAACCCACGGGACTTGCAGGGCTCCTTTAGCTATCGCTCCCTCACTCCCTGCCATCGAGCGGATTTCTGACTCACAGAGACTAGTAGAACCTAGTAGAACTGCTCTTTGGGGTTCTGAGTCTGTAAAACTTGGAGCAGAAAGCTTCACCTTTCTCCCAACGTGGGTTCAAAGTGCTGACCTTTCTGGTTAGCAGCCCAATATATTACCCACTGTGCCACTGGGGCTCCTTTAAAACCAAACCAAGTTCATTGCCATCCAGTGGATTCTGACTCAGAGTGACCCTACAGGGCAAGATAGAAATGCCCCTGGGTTTCTAAGACTGTTTACGGGAGGAGAAAGCTACTTAAAATGGGCTTATTACCATTTTAATATACAACAGAATTTAAAACAAGATAAAAATTTTTAAAATCTCTTATCAATGCAAATGAGGAGGGTTGGAGTGGAGTCCCAGGGCCCATCTGTAGACCATTGGACAGAAGGGTCACATGGAAGGGTGCAGCACAGCACCGATGGAACACACAACATTCCTCTAGTTCTTTAATGCTTCCTCCTCGCCCAACTTTCATGACCCAGTTCTACCTTACAAATCTGGCTACACAAGAGCATGTACATTGGTATAGATAAGAGCTCTTAATGATGAGGGCAGCAAATGTACAAGAGGGTTTGACACATTGGATGGATATATGGATTGTGATAAGAGTTGTACGAGCCCCCAATAAAATGATTTTTTTTAAAAAGAGCTCTTGACATATTGAATCTAGGACACATAAACCCCTCAGCTACGGTAATGGGAGTAGTGATACCATGAGGGTAGGGGGCAGGTGGGGATAGAAGGGAGAAAAGGGAGAAACCGATCACAATGATCAACATATAAACACACACACACACACACACACACACACACACACACACACCTGACGGGGATGAGCAACAGAAACATGGATGAAGGGAGACAGCAGACAGCATAGGAT